CTATAGACAACTCATACTTGTCCTTTAATATTATATAAATTTGCCATCCTTCTGAAACAATTGAACCAATCCCTAAGCCCACTGGCCCATTGTTAAGGAGTGAATTTCAACTCATAGTAACCCTAATAGACAGAGAACCATCCCATATGGTTTCCAAGGCTGTAAATCTTTACAGAAGTAGGTTGTCTCATCTGTCTTCTATGGAGTGGCTCATAGGTTCAAACCACTGACCTGATTAGCAGCCGAATGCCTTAATCATTGTACCAACAGAGTTCCCTGAACCAATCCCTACTAACAATAAATTCTTCATCACAATCACCTTCACTTGCTGCATGTGCAGCTTTTAAATCATTAAAAAGGCTTCTAAAGTAAGGCTAAATAAGAACCTTATATACCTGTTTTGACTTACCTACAAATTCATCTTAAAGACACTTTTAGGAACAGGTGTCATTCATAACTGGGGTACTGCCTATACAACTCAGCCAAAGAGAGAAATGAAGTCTTGATACATGCTACAACAGGAATATATCTTGAAAACATTATGCTGAGTGAAATAAGTGAATTACAAAAGGACAAATACTGTATGAGCTAATAATTTTTTTTTATAACAGTATTCCAAAAACATCAATCCAAACTCATTGCCATTGAGTCAACTCTGACTCTCAGCAACCGCTCCTTGGGTTTCTTAGGGGGTATCACTACAGAAGTAGTTTGCCCAATCTTCCTTTCAAGGCGTGTCTGGTGGGTTTGAACTGCCAGTCTTCTGATTAGCAGTCTAGTTCCTTAGCACTATGCCACCAAAGCTCCTACAACAGCATTATCAAGATAGAATTCATATACCATACAATTCACCCATTTGAAGTATGTACTTCAATGGTTTTCATTTTTTTACTGTGCTTTAACTCACTGGTTGCAGTGTACAGACATGTATCAGAAATATTGAGGGTGTGGTTCCAGACCACTACAATAAAGCAAGTATTGCAATAAAGCAAGTCACACAAACTTTTTGGCTTCCCAGTACATATAAAAGTTTCATTTATGCTATATTTCAGTCTATTAAATGTGCAATAATAGCATTATGAAAAAGCTTTAAAATACTGTTAAGAATTACCAAATGAAGAGAAGGGCAATGTACCAAATGTGAATGACCAATATGGCAGCATTGAGGATGAGAAAGACATAGAGAGGTACGTGGGAGGTACAGACAACAAAGATGAACCCATTTGCACATGCTGTACTGCATTGTCAGTGAAGGTAAACATGGGTATACAGGTGGATAGATGGGTGGGCAGGCTGAAATATTAGGTATGTTTATGAAGCAGGGAGTGTACTCAAGAACATGTATAGGGTTGGCAGACAATGGTCCTATAAGTTTATGTGTATGATCTGAATTCCCAGGTGTGTAGTACAGCTGACAAGTGACTACAGTCACTGCTTGGTCACAGCCAGCTACCAAGAGGGACCGAGTACTTGAACCTGTGGGCTTGGGACCATAGTCACGGGATATCAAGCTCAATTGGCATAACATACTATACAAAACATTGTTCCACCTCCTACTTTGGCAAGTAGCGACTGGGATCTTAAAAGCCTGCAAGCTTTCATCTAGATGCAACGATGGGTCTCTCTTCATCCAGAGAAAAGAATATTGAAGAAAAGCAAAAATTCATGGAAACAATTAGTCCTAGCGACTGGTACACCATCCGATCTGTAGCCTATATGACTACAAGACAAGAAGAACTAGATGGTGCCCAGCTACCACTGTCAACCACTTGGAAGGGGACCTATGCAGGAGACCCTTGA